CAGTTCACAACCATCAGTAACTCCAGTGCCAGGGGATCCACACCCTCTTCTGGACTCTATAGGCACCAGGCATGCACACATGAGGTACAGATACGTACACACACACACATTAAAAAAAAATAAGTTTAAAAAGGGATGAAACACAAATAAATTTAATATGGTAAAAGATTCTGTGAAGTAAATTGTACGTAGGAGATGAGCCAAGGTTTTAAAGAGATCTATGCCGCTGAAGGTGTAAATGGTTATCTTGTGAATTTTCCTTTTGCATTTTACTTATTATTAATTTCTACTTTTCCTTCAATGGCTATCTTACACACTAAAGTAGAACATTACCTTGAAATGGAAATTTAAGGACCCCCATAACTGCTAACTTACAAGGGAAAAACAGCAAGAAGTTTGAAACAAAAAAGAATAAACTTTAAAACATGACTTTTCCTGAATCTCTCTCCAGACTCCACTGCCCCACCCTGTCCCTGTAAGCACCATTTCCCTGTTGGTCTCTATGAACTTGGGATGTCACATACCACTGAGCTCATACAGTGCTTGTCTTTCCGTGTCTGGCTTATTTCGCCACAATGCCAGCAGCTTCCCCTATACAAATGAAGAGTCCCTTCTTTTTATTTTTATTTTATTTTTAGAAGAAGCATTTTATTACAGCATTGACATATTCAATAACAATTTCCAGAGCAAAGATGCATCTCTTTCAAAATTGGCTGTAAATTTTTAGGTTTATAGTTGAATTAATACAGTTATACAATATTGTACTCAGTATAAACCCTATAAGATATAAAAGTAAATGAGGTTTTAACCCTTAAAAAAGATCTCCATTTCATTATTAAAATAAAGATTCATACAGAAAAATTCATTGTTTTTGAAAAAGGAAAAGTTTATTTTGGCTTACAATTCAAGGGGTACAGTCCATCAAGGCAGGGAAGGCACAGTGATAGAGCTAGAGGTGTCTGGTCCCATTGCTTCTGCCGTCAAGAAGGAACAGAATGCTCACTTTGCTTTCTCCTTTTTACTCAGTCCAGGACCCCAACTGATGAGGTGGTGTTGCCATTTAGGGTGTGTTTTTCCATCTCAGTTAAACCGATCTAGAAACTCCTTCACAGACAAACCAGAGACTTTTCTCTTCGGTGGTTGTAGGCCCCACTACTTGCTTTGTGAAAGACAAGCAATCACGTTGACCAGGTGATTTTCCATGCCACTGTTATATTCTACTTAGAATTTCCCTGAAAAGTCATGTTGTATGGGAGACTTTTCCTGAGAAGATGCAGCACACACACACACACACACACACACACACACACACACACACACACACACACACCTATTCATTCTAGAAAAAGAAACCAGGGAAGACCAAAGTCCAACTTGGTGAATCAGTGAATTTATAGGGGTTTCTTACAGTAGTGCAGATGATTTCTGAAGTCCTTGGCATCTGAGCATGGATATAAAGTCATCAGGTAGATTTCAAGGGTAATGTTTTTCACATCTACTAATTATTAAGGAGCAAATTTGAGTCCCTTCTTTTTAAAGGCCAAGAGATATCCCACTGTGTATGCACTACTTTTTCTTCATTTATCTGTTGACAGACACTGCAGTGAACATGGGAGTGAAGGTGTGAGATACTTTTTGGGGGGGGTTGTTTTTGAGACAGGTCTCCCTGTTGCCCCAGCTGGCCTGGAACTCACTAAGTAGACCAGGCTGGGCTCAAACTCACAGAGATCTGCCTGCCTCTGCCTCCTGAGTGCTGGGATGAAAGATGTATGCCACCACACCCAGCAATACTTATTTTTTAAAAGATCTATTTTTATTTTATATGTATAAATGTTTTGCCTGAATGTATGTATGTGAGCTACCTGCATTTTGGGTGCCAGAAGAGAGTGTCAGATCCCCCTAGGACTGTAGTTACAGTCAACTGTTAGCCACCATGTGGGTACTAGGAATAGAGCCCAGCTCCTCTGGAAGAGCAGCCAGTGCTCTTGACTGCAGAGCCATCTCTCCAGCCCAGAGATACTGATTTAATAGATATTCAGAGGCAGTATTTCTGGGGCATATGATGGTTTATTTATGTTTATTAGTTGTGGCGATGATGATTGCACCAATGCCTTATGGCTGTTATGCAAGTGCTCTACAATCAAGCTACACCCTTTGCCAGCCCTACTTTTAAATTTGTGTTGTTGTTGGGTTTTTTGCTATAAGGTTTCGCCTGTAGCTCCAGCTGGCCTGGAACTCTCTATGTAGACCAGGCTAGCCTCCATTTCACAGCAATCTGTGTGCCTTTGTCTCCTGAGTGCTGGGATTAAAGGCATGCATTGACAACTGGCTCTCAGTTTTAATTTTTAGTCTCCATTTTTTACTATTTTATTTTATTTTTATTCTTATTTTTATTTTATGTGTATAAGTGTTATGCCTGGATGTATATAAATGCACTCGCATTGTACAGTGCCCAAGAAGGATAGAAGAAGGTTATGGATGGTTGTTAGCTGCCATGTAGGTGCTGGGACTCGAACTCGGGTCCTCTGCAAGAACAGTCAGTGCTCTTAACCACTGAGCCATCTCTCCAGCCCCTCCATTTATTTTTTATAAAAAAGCTTCTTTCTCAGTTCCAGTCACATAAGTAATTTCCTCCACCATGTGGACTATGTTTTGCCTGTTTCTCATTGAATGGCTTCACCCTTACCTTTCTTTGTGGCATGCTGAGGGTCAAACCCAAGGCCTTGAGCACACTGAGCAGGGGCTTTACTGCTGAGCCATATTCCCGTTAGTTTTCTTGAGATAGTTTTTTACTATGTAGGCCCCACAGGTCTTGGACTTGAAAGCCTCCTGCTTCCAGCTCCCTAATTGGGATTACAGACAAGTGCCACCAAGGCCAGCCTAGAATTCCTTTTTTTATTGTCCCCAAAGTTAGCATATTCACTATTTCTTTGGGTATTACAAGTGTAAGGAAAGTCCAAGAATAGATGAAGCAGATGAAGCAGATTTGCTTTGAAAAGCCTACAGCTCGGGGGTGGGGTGGCACTCGCCTGCAATCCTAGCACTGGAAAGCTGAGGTGGGAGGACTTTAAGTTTGAAGCCAGCCTGGGCTACTGAAAAAAAAAATGTATTTCTCAAGCATGCCATTGAGTTTCTGGATGCCTTGGAAGCATTGTTGTATGAAGATGTGGTCACAATTGGTACTAATACAGATCACATCCCAGGAAACTGGGCTGTTATATATTATTTATTACAGATAATCATACCACTACATTAGAGACTGAAAACCTTGCTGAGGTCATAGCTACTTAAATAAGAATGTAAGTGTTCAGAGTTTCTGTTGTGATTCTAATAGGGTATTCCCAGCCAATGGGTTATATTTAAAATAACTGAAGGGGGGAACTTATACTAATTATTACCATACTAATAACATACTAATTATTAACACATACTAATTCAGTGACAGCAAAACTTCATGTATATTGTGAGTCCAAATAAAGCAAGTTTAATATTAGCTAGCCTGAGTGATCACCAAGCGAGTCAATGCTTCAATTTTAAGTTTCAAGTATAATTCTCTCTCAAGGACCAGAAGAGAATGCCTTTCAAAAGCCCTGATTGGAGGGGTCAACCTCTGTCCCTTACCACCTCAGTAGGGCTGAGATAACTTCCACCTGTATAGCATAGGCTATACTCTCCTGCCCTTTCCTAAACGCACCCCACTGTGCGTGTTCTATTTGACCACGCCCTTGTCCTTGTGTGTGCATGGAAGGAGGAGGTCTGTGTGGAACCTCAGCCCTCTAGAGCTGTGCAGGGCAGTTGCACACTCGGGTTTCTTCCTGCTGTGCTTCCACGAGTATTTCTATTATGAACAATGTTCAGCATGAAGGAGATCTTGGGGGTCTTATCCATACATATCACTTCACCTGAACACAGAAGAGATAACGTTTTCATATTGGGTAGATGGATCCCAGGCCGGTACAACACTCTCTAAACTGGGACTGAGCACTGCGCCTGGAATTTTCTGCCCTCACTTTACATGAAGCAGCCGCCAAATTCAGGTCTTTTTCCCAAGTAAATATAGTTGTTTCCACCAACCTGGAAAGCCCAAGCTAAAACACCACAAAAGGCCATTTCATCTCTAGAAAACTGAGCCGGGAGTGGAGCCTTAAATCCAAAGATTTGAGAGACAGATGGGCAGATATCTGTGAGATGGTGGTCAGCTTGGTCTACATAGTGCGTTCCAGGGCAGTTGGGACTACAGGGAGACCGTGTCTCAAAAACAAAACAAAACAAAAACAAAACTTTCTATTCATTTTTCATTTTCGTTATTATTAGCGTGCGTGCACGGTGGGGAAGCGTGCAGCCGGCTGGCCTGTGGTCAGAGGACAGTCTTCGGGACTCTGCTCTCTCCGTCCACCGTGGATGGATTGCAGGAATCGAACTCAGGGCATCAGGCTTGAGGTTCAAGCGCCTTTACCCGCTGAGCCGTTTCCGCGGCCCCCTAATAATTTTTAAAATAACCGATTTCACGGTCTGGGGATGTAGCTCACCCTTAGAATTCTTGCCTGGTGTATGTAGGGTCCTGGGTTAGACCCCACCCCTCACCCCCCAACACACACACACCAAGTAAATAAAATCATCCGGCTTGTCAGTCATTTTTCCCCAAGGCCTGTGCCAGTTAAATTCAGAAAAGGCGCTGGCTTGTCAGAAAAGAGCGACGTGATTTGGTTTGCAGGGGAAGCAAGCTCTGCACTGTAGAAACCATAGGAGTCCGTCGCTTTTCCTAGGGGGTGCGGCGCAGGGCAGAGCTAGGGGGTTCTCAGGCTCCAGTTCTCCCGGGTATCCAGGTCAGGCAGCCTGCACAGGAAGCTGACCCCTCACGGCAGTGACTCCTCCGGGCCAACAGGGGGCACGCGAGCGACACCTTTTCCCGCCAACGCCTTGGCACTGCAGCCTCTAGTCCCGCCGCCGCCTCATAGAGGGCGGGGAACTTCCTGTTCCGGGGCGTGTGGCGTCCCGGATGTGAGCATGCTATATAAGCGCCGCCCAGGCCTCGTGCGCTCTTTTCTGAGACCCGGCTGTGGCTGCTGTGGAGCCTTGTCTCCTCCGCTCCTGTCCTGACTCACCGCTGTTCGCTCCCCCAGAGGAACAAGTCGGTCAGGAAGCCACGCCGCAGCCATGGTGAGGTGGGGGACGGCGGCCCGGGGCTCCCGCCGGGCTCGGCCGGGTTGCGGGCCGGGGGCGGCGGCGCGAGTGCGCGCTCCAGGCCTCCCGCCGCGGCCGGGCAGGTGAAGGGGCCTGGGCGTCTGTGTCCAGCTGACCCTGGCTCATTACGTCGCTCTTCTCTCTTGGTCTGCGTGGAAACAGGCCTTTAAAGATACCGGGAAGACGCCCGTGGAGCCGGAGGTGGCGATTCACCGAATTCGAATCACTCTGACCAGCCGCAATGTGAAGTCTCTGGAGAAAGGTCAGTACCGCGGTTGGGGCGTTTTTTCGGTGCTTGTGGTTCGGTGACTCGGACCCGTCGGCGGTGAGGAGACACGTACTGTGTTGACTGGCGGTGATCGCTCTATACGCTATTCTGAGCCGATGCGGGCCGGGTGTCGAGCCGACCGTAGTGATTGCAGATTAACCGGAGGGAACTTTTTTTCTTGCAGTGTGTGCTGACTTGATCAGAGGCGCGAAGGAAAAGAACCTCAAAGTGAAAGGCCCTGTTCGCATGCCCACCAAGGTAAGCCGGAAGCAGAGGGTCCGCCATCTCGGACCCTTAAGGCATTCTCAACGGCAGAAGCACAAACGAAAAAGGTTGCTGGCACCACGTAATAGTTTGTACTTAGTACGTAGTACCGACTGAGTATGGTGCACAGTTAATGTCTCTACCTGCGTGAGAATGATGGGAATATTTCATTGTTGCTGTCTGTGAACCTGCTGGTGAAGGACTAATGCCAGGAGAGTGGCTCAGGTGAAGAACCCGGGTAAGCATGAACTAATTGTTGTTTTTGCTTTGTTGCAGACCTTGAGAATCACTACAAGAAAAACACCTTGTGGTGAAGGTTCCAAGACATGGGATCGCTTCCAGATGAGAATTCACAAGCGACTCATTGACCTGCACAGTCCTTCTGAGATTGTTAAGCAGATCACTTCCATCAGCATTGAGCCAGGGGTAGAGGTGGAAGTCACCATTGCTGATGCCTAAATCGGCTATTTAATAAATTGACTTAACTAGTTGGTAAATTTTGTTGCCTTTTATTCAGAAAACTTTACTGATCTAAGTTTAAATCTTTTTTTTTTTTTTTTAATTCTTTTTCAGATGGGTTCTGGAACCCAGGCCTTCCTTCTAACCACAACAAACTGATTTGGCATAAAAAAAGACATGGTCCAGGACCTAGCCCTTAAGTACTAGAGAATACGGGGTCCTAAGTTACCATTGGACTAAACAGTTGTAGATTTTATATCTTCTCATTTTTCATGCATAGCTTTAAAGTATTCACAACAGTTTAAAACATTAAGCTATTTCAATGCATGTAACTTTTAACATCCCATCAAGGTCTTGTAGGATTTGGGGGGGGGATTGTTTTTTGGTTATCCCCAAGACTTGAATCCTTTTGTAAATTATGAAATTCGGGACTTAAGAGTACTTACTGCTCTTGGCAGAGAGATGTCCTGGATTCTATCCCCAGCACCCATATGGCTGTTCACAACTCCAGGGGATCCAAAACTGTCCTGGCTTCTGTGGGCTCTGCATACACGTGCATTTATATTCAGGCAAAGTACACACAAATTATTAAGTTCTTTTCTCTAGATAAATTTTGCTTGCTGTTTTGCCACAGGGTTACAGCAGGGTAATCCAAGTCTTTATTTAGCTGTGGGTTTAACTGTCATTCCCCTGGTCATTCAAATCAACTTCCCAGTGGAATTTCTGCACATGTCAAATGGGTGACAGCATAGATCAGAGTACCAGTTCTGAAATTAAATTTTTCTTTGTTCCTAGGAGCCTGTATAATCTGGAGCTGTACAAAATTTCTGCACTTGATCCAAATATTCTAAAATGAAAATTTACATACAAATTTTCTGGCTAGCCACTTGATGATACACGAGATCAACTTAAGTTCTTTCTTTGGGAAAGACCAAAACCTCCAGGTCATAAACCTGTTTCATGGCTTATATGATAAAGTATAAGTTCGTATTTCTAAAGCCAGCAATGACCCGTTCCTATTTGGTAGGCTAATCAAGCATTTACTGTTGCCCGTCTGTTTAGGGTACTGGGGAGCTACTAACAAGGTCACTCAGATGTACTCAGATGCTTGTTCTTAGAATGCTACTTCTGTTTGAGGAGCTGGGGATGGAAACCAAGGTATCGTACTTGATATCACAGAGCTATATATATCCTGAATCTCCCTAAATGCCCATTTATGGTCAAGCATATTGCTAAGCATCCTGATAACTGAGTAAAGGTTTAATCAAAATATGAGCAACCAAAGAACATGGTGTGATCATTGAGCCCAGTGGCTTGCACTTTAGGAAGGCACACCTTCAGCCTAACAATTCTACTTTTCCATTAAATAGGTGTCAAGCTTGAATTAAAACTGATGTTTAAAAACAGTGTAGTAGCTCACCTTTAATTCCAGCACTGGGAAGGCGGCAGATGCAGGCTGATCTCTTATGAGATGGAGGCTAGTGTGATCTACATAGTTCCAGGCCAGCTGGCGCTACAGAGCTCTGTTTCAAAAAGAAAAAAGCAAAAACCCCAAAATATTTAAAAACTAAAATACAGTACTTGAAATTTGGGGAACTTTTATCCCTGATTCTTGGAAAATTTCAGAGGCTTTGAATTCGAGGACAGGTGAATCTTGGTTCTATGAACCTTACAGCCATCCTGTATGAAGACAGTTAGTGGAGAGGTAAATTATGTGGCTGCTCCAGACCTGGCTTCCTCTGAATTCAGAATGCTATTTCTGTTGTAGGAATGTAACCCAGTAATTACCAAGGGAGCTGAAGCTACTGTGGCTGTTCATTGCAGTCTTAGATTTCTGCACCTGACATCCCTAGAGGGTCTATATGTATGCCTTGTGCATGTAAAATAAAACGGCAAAAGGACTGTTAAAGTGGGAAACCTTGGCCGTGCAGTCACATCATTCCAAATTTAGATCTTGGATAGGAAGACTTGATCAAGTTACAAGACCTCTTTAAGCCTAAATTCTCCAGCACTGAGGCAGAGGCAGGTAGGTGGAGTTCAGGGCCATCCTGGATTGCAATAAGTTATTCCAGGCCAGCTGCAGTTACAAGGAGGCCCTGCCTCAAAAAGACCAAAAACTAATACAATTTTTATTTTATGTGTATAAGTATATTGTATGTAAGTGCACCTGTGTTGTGTAATGCCCTTGGAACCAATCCCCGGGAACTGGAGTTGTTAGCTGCCATGTGCTGGGAATCAAACCTGGGTCCCCAGCAAGAGCAGCCAGTGTTAACCACTGAGCCATCTCTCCAGCCCTAAGCCTAAATTCTTAGGTGCCAAATGAGGATACTAATAATCTATCTCAGATGTAGATAGAGGTGTTTTCGTTGTGTCTGAAAATGAAATCAAAATTAGCTTGCTAAGGGCATGGATTTCCGAAGGACATGCTAGTGTTAGTTGTAAGAATGCATTGAGAAATATGTTTGAGTCTCCTGACAAAAAGTGTTTATGGAGGTCTGACTAGAGAACCTGGCACAATTGAGGTTTTGTCTTCGGGAGTCAGGAGAAGCTAAGTATTTCGTCCTCAAGCTACTGTTCTTCACTTTCACAGCACATAGGATCAAAGAACTGTGCCTGGCGTATGTAACATCCTGTCAACATCGATGACAGACAACAAAATTTTTTTTACAATTCATTTTTACTTTACATATTGTAGTTTTGTTAACAAAGGTGTTAATAATATTGTGAATTACATATTTTTCTGTCAGTTTATAGAGAATTTTTTTCTTTTTTGGTTGCAGGAATCAAACAGGTCTCTTAATGTGTGCTAGGCAATTGCTCTACTGAGTTGTACCTCCAACCCCAAAGAGGTCTTTTTTTTTTTTTAATTGTGTGTTTGTGTGTGTGTTGAGGACTGTGTTATTTTTTTTATCATTAATTGCATATCTAAGAGATGTTTATATGTAGACATACACATTTACCTCATACACATTTACTGCATTGCATGAATGTACCTTTATTTAACCTGCTTACTTTTAATGGGCTTTTCAAGATTTTTGCTATTCGAAGCACAATTTCAATTAATGTGCTTTTAACATTGTCTTCTTACTTGAATGTCTCTAGGGAATGCTCCTAGAAGTTAAATTTCTGAATTTTGACTGCATTGTAGATAATGTGTATTCAAGATAGAACAGATGGCTCAGTGGGTGAAGCCTGACAACGTGGAGTCAGTCTCCAGGACCCACATGGTGGAAGGGAAGATTTGCTCCCTCAAGTTGCCCTCTGACCGCCACATGTAATAACTCAATAAGTGTAATAACTTTTTTAAAACTAGAAAGCTATTTGAGAACATTTATTAAGCATATACCAAATGCTCACATATGCATGTTTGGGGACATTCAAAAAGGAAATCTTTAGTTACAGATTATGAGAATTTTTATTTTCAATGAGACTACCAAGGTGATGTCCTTAAAAGATTATGTGTGCATTGTATTCATTTTTTATTTTTTGTTTTTTATTTCCTTACAATGGAAAATTTCAAACTTAGGGAATGATAGAATGAGCCATTATAGCTTAGCTTTAGGGATTGCCAGTTGGTGTTGGTTTTAGTGCGAGCATGAGTGCCTGTTCTCCCAAACAGCCCTCAATATTTTGAAGCAAATTCCATAAATCTAAAAGATAACTCTTTAACAAGATCAAGTCAGCCAAAATTCCGGCATAGATGGGGGAGGTGTTCCCAGGCCCCACCCTTTACTGAAGAGCTGTTGGCAGTTGATAGCTGCTGGGGGAGGGACAATCCTTCCTTACTTGAGGATATACTCACTGGTAGGTTTTTCATGCTCCTGTGGATGGTCCCACATCCGTACACAGATGAGCAGCACTAAACGGAAAAATGACATGCAGTTGGGAGGATATGGGGAAGTTGGAGGAGGGAAATGGGGGTGGATATGATCATATTTCATTGTATATATGTATGAAATTCTCAAGAATAAGGAAAATTATAATTAAAAGTTCAGTAGCGCTAAGTATGTTAAATTGTGCAACAGGTCCCCAGAACTTTTTCCCCTTGTAAAACTGAAATCTGTACCCTTAATCACCACACTCCTCTCCTTTATCCATGGCAACTAGCATTCATTTCCTATTTCTATAGCTTGGCTATTTCAAGATTCCTCATGTGAGTGGAATCGTAGACTGACAGTCCATTTAGCATAATGGCATCAAGGTCTATTCACGGCACGTGGCAGGGTTTTCTTTTTTCTTCCCTTACCACACACCTTTGGCTGGAGTCAGACTCGTGGCAATCCTCCTGCCTCAGCCTCAGGAGTTCTGGAATTATAAGCATGTGCCACCACACCTGGCTTTGATTTCTTTTTTAGGTTTGGGAAGGCCCCCTTTGGAGGAATGCATCATGTTTTCTTTATCCATTCATCTGGCTGATTTTGGTTGCTTCCACCACTTGTTGGTTGTGACTAAAGCTACAGTGAACATGCATGTTCCAGCTTGTCTTTGATCATCTGCTTTGAATTCTTCAGGGTATGTGCTAAGTAAAATTGCTAGACTATTTGACATTTCTATTTTTAATTTTTTTTTTTTGAGAAACGTCCATACTGTTTTCCGTACCTGCTGTACCATTTTGCGTACTCATTCTGAGTTCCATTTCTCTGTATGTGTGCCAATACTTTTTAAAAAATGTATTATTTTTATTTTACATGTATGAGCATATTACCTGCCTGTATGTTAGTGCACCCATGTCAGAAATTCTTCCATAGCTTACGTATCTTTTCTACTGTGTTTTCTCCTAGAATTCTTAAGTTGTATGCCTTATAGTTTTATCGTTAACCCACGACAGTAAAGAGAATGGCCATGAAAGTTTAGAACATGCAAAATAATCTTAATAATTCATGGAGAAAATTATGATCATTCAATGACCTAAAAAACATTGTGAAAACATGAAAGGGGAATGAAAAATAGTTTTTAAAAAAAGTTAAGCTAATTCTTAGTACACTGTCATCCTCAAGAAAACATTGAGGAAGTCTGCTATTTGTGAGGAAAGTTTGAG